AACATTGATATAGAAATAGTATTTAAGAGAAGCATTAATATTCAAGGAAAGAAGTTAAGAAAATAACTCACAACTTTAATAATCAACAAGCTTCAAGAGCAACACCAAGAAATGGAAGTTTAGCTCCTCATTTGGAGACTAAACATGCTAAAAAAATATAAAAGAAATACTATTCTAAGTTGAGCTTAAGAGTATGGAAGAAGGAGTGCTTAAAAGTGAAGGAAAATGGGGTTATTTATAGGTGTCTTGAAGGTGCTGCACCGGATACCCGGCCGGGTATTTGAGATACCCGACCGGGTATTTGTCAAAATCAAATATTTTGCCCACGATTTTGTGTTTTCTGCACGTCTTTTTGTCCGGGTCACTTCATACCCGACCGGGTAAAGGCTATACCCGACCGGGTAAGTCACCAAATCACATTTCTTGCATGATTTCTTGTTCCCTTGCACTTTCCTTTGATCTTGTAAGATCCCTTCCATGATCCTTTGTTGATTCTTGATTGTTTCTTGCTCAAGATGATTCTAAATTTACTAAATTACAACAAACTAGAAAAATAAAATGATTGCACCTTAAATGTGCAATTACCACAACAACACACCATAAAAAGTAATTAAAAGTAAAAATATAAACACTCAAAAATCAATGCAATCAAGTGGAGTGCAATGTGATTGATTCTGGTTCTGTTGTTGCTTGAGCTGGTATTTCTGGAACTTGTGCTAGTGAAGTTGCTTGTGTTGCTGTTGTGCCATGATCCTCAATATCCTCTAGATCAGATGTAGGAGGTGAATCAGCTTCTTCTTCTTCAGTGAGGTTAGGCATGAATGGTAACTGTACAACATCTGTTGATTGTTGTGTGCTGGCGGTGCGTGGATTCTCATAGAAATGTTCAAACAGGGAGTCTAGTACTGCACGCTCAGCCGTTGTCTGCATTGTTGCTTCAGCTCCATCAGGTTGCTTTCCATTGACAGAGGGAGTGGGTTCTATCAAGAAATGTTCAGAAGCAAAGTCAGCCATTTCATAGAATGCTACATTGACACTCTCAATGACTGTTCTGCGTTCACGTAAGTAGACCCGATATGCCTTTGGTTGCATAGAGTACCCAATGAATACTCCTTCGATAGCTTTCGGATCCATCTTGCTTCTTTCATTTCTGTCATTTAGAACAAAACACTTGCAGCCAAACACTCTGAAGAATGAGATGTCCGGAGTTCTGCTGAAGAGGATTTCATATGGTGTCTTGTTGAAGCGCTTGTGGATTGATGTTCTGTTCTGAGTAAAGCACGCAGTGTTGATTGCTTCAGCCCACATGAAATGGGGAAGCTTTGATTGAATGAGCATGGTGCGTGCTGCTTCAACAAGTGTTCTGTTCTTTCTTTCAACGACTCCATTCTGTTGTGGCGTTTTTGCTGCAGAGAATTGCTGAATGATACCCTGAGTTGCATAGAAATCAGCAAGGGACTGATTCTTGAACTCAGTGCCATTATCTGTTCTGATGATTTCCACACTCTTCTGCAGAAAGTTCTGAATTGTCCTGATGAAGGTTATGATGGTATCTGTTGTCTCATCCTTTGTCCTCAGAAATTTGGTCCATGTATACCGAGAGAAGTCGTCCACAATGACAAGTGTGTATTTGCGTCCATTAATGCTTTGGACTCTCATCGGTCCACATAGATCCATGTGAAGTAATTGCAGCAGTGGAGAGGAGGATGGAACAAGTTTCAACTTGTGAGAGCTCCTTTTCATTTTGCCTAGTCTGCAGGCATCACAATGATTGTCAGCGGAAGTCTTCAAAGGAGGCAGCCCTTTCACAAGTTTCTTGGAGGATAGAGTGGTGAGATATTTGAAGTTGAGGTGAGACAAGCGTCTGTGCCATAGACTGTTTTGTTCAGAGGAAGCTTTGGACAGTAGGCAATTGGAAGAAGTTGATTGAACACTCTTTAGATCAATGGTGTACAGGTTGGAAGTTCTCGTGCATGTCAATAATGTCTTTCCAAACCTGTCCAGCACACATCATTGTCTGGATATGAACTTCACTTCCATGCCACTATCACAGAACTGTCCAATGCTTAGCAGATTATGTTTCAATCCTTTCACGTATGACACAGCCTTTATGGTGACGCTTGCACAGATGACATCCCCATATCCTAGGATTGGAGACGCTGCGTTGTTTCCAAATCTCACATTTCCTCCGTAGCACTTTGTGTAGTTACTCAGCAGCTGTTTTATTCCGGTCATGTGGGTTGAGCAGCCAGAATCTAAATGCCACACATGACCGTCCTGCAAAACAGATTAAGGACTTTTAGGTACCCACCTCAGGATGGGTCCTTCCTTATCAATTGAGAATATCTTTTTAAGTTTTTCCTTCAGCTGTGATCCAAGGTCAGCAGCCTTTTCAGACAATGTTCTTTGTTTTTCAAGTTCTGCTTTTGGTACCCATTGTTGTTTGATTTTAGGAGTAGAGGAGACAGGGTCATTGTTTCTGTGTGTGAATGGCTGGTTCGTGAGATAAGGTTTGAAAATTGCTTCCTTAGAGATTCGTTGTAAGTGTTTCTTTGAATGAACTTTAAGAGGATATTTTAATTTGGAAAATTATAAATACCCTCTACAGCTCTATTCTCAGATTGTTTCTTTTGTTTGCGCTCTCTCTGTTTTTTCTCTCACGAACAGAATTCACAACACATTCATAATCAGAATCATTAGAGCAAGCATTTCCTAACCCAGGAGCATACAACTTTTCATTGAAATAAAACGGATCAGAAGTAAATTCAGAATGATTCAGTTTGGGACTCAAGACTGAACTAGAACTACAAGGTTGTGACATAGAACTAGATCTACATTTATTTGAATAGAAAACAGCACTAGAACAGGACTTCTTATTCTCAGAAAACATCTTCTTCTTCCCTTCAGCAATCTCATCTCTCTTCAACTTCCACTCTCTTCTCCTCTCCAATCTCCTACTTATTTCTCTTCCTGTTTTCAAAGGAGATTTGGAGTGAGTGGATGTCTTTTAAAAAATTTTAGATTTGTTCAGAATTGGTTGAGAAGTATCAGTATCACTAGATGAATGAGAAGTTGTGCCAGATTGGGAACTTTCTTTTAAAATGGTCAATTCTCTCAACAGCCTCTCCCTCTCACTTTCAAAACTTTTTCTTTCTTCTTCAAAACTTTTTCTTTGGTTTTCTAAAGAAATGTGCAAGTTTTCAAATTTTCTGATTAGTGGAGGGATATAGGGTTCTTCTCCACCTGACTGTGAGGTTGAGGGGGGGTTCTGGATCCGACACAACTTCCTTCTCAGAAGGATAGGGACTAGTACTCTCATCAGTTGAAAAAACAGGTTTTACAGTTTCATAGCTTTTGTTCAAAGATTCATAATTGAAAGGGATTTCTGCTCTAGAAGGGTTTGATCGCTTTACCTCTTCTTCTTCTTCTTCTTCTGCGGTCTCCTTTCCATAGGTAAAAGCCATCAACTTAGTCAATCCTAACCCCATATAATTTATGTCATAAAGTTGAATACAATCCACTTTCTTCAAATTATTGGGGTTAGTAAGACCAAGACCCTCCTTAGAGTTATAAAAGCGAGTGTCTTTGTTCTGATTGAGAAAAATGGTTTGTTCTGTCTGTCCTCTCTTGGCAAGTAGATCTTCTAATTCTTTGATTTTCGTGTAAAAAGTACATCTTTTTTCATGTAGAAAATCGTTTTCGGCTTTTGCAACGTTTCGTTCTAATTCAGTGTCACTTACCTTTTTAGTCAGTTCAGCTACCTTTTGTGTGAGCTGTTCTATTTCCAAAGTTCGCTTCTTAACAATTTCCTTTGCATTATCTAATTGTATGCTCAGGGATCTGACTTTATCTAGACTGTCAATTAGGAATTTATGGTTGATGTTTCCCTTGTCTCTTAACTCCTTAATTAGATTGTCCTTCTCTCGTGAAGAGTGAACTGTACAAGAGCAGGAACAATAGGGTTTAGAGGTACTTACAGTGGTGTTTGAGCTTGAGCTTGAACTTGCTCCGGGGATCGCAGCATCACCCTTTTCTTCTTCCTTTTCAACAAACGCCATCAGGGCCAAGTTCTCTTCTTCTTCATCATCAGAACTCTCCTCCTGCCATGGATCATTCTCAGTGAGTGTTGCAGCACCATCATCATCTTGCTTAGCCATGAACATCTTCTGCTTGTTCCACAGCATCTTCTGCTTGTAATAGTTGAAGTCCCTTTTCCTTGGTAGGCGACAGTCCTTGATGACGTGTCCAGCCTTTCCACAGTTGAAGCATTTGGGAGGGTCTTCTGCTGCAACAGCTCTACTGGAAGAGTTCTGATCATTGTTCTTTGTTCTGTAATTGGCAGAGGAGGTTCGCAGTTTGTTGGATGAGTTTCCCTTCTTTGAAAATTTCTTGTTGAACTGATTGGTGAGAAAAGCCATCTTTTTCTGCAGATCAGCCAACTCAGATTCAACATCCACTTCTTCTTCACTTTCCTCTTCTTCAGACTCCATCTTAACTGCCTTCTTCTTCTTTTGAACCTTAGATGAACTCTTTGGTTTAGCTTCTATCATGAGTGCTAAAGGATTAGCAGAAAAGTTTCCTTCCATCTCAGCAGTGTCATTCACAAACTGTTGGAGATGCTCATGAAGTGTACAGACACTACAACAATAATTCGTTTTTATAGCACAATATTATAGCATATTTTGTTATAGAAAAGAGCTAGTGCTGATCCATCAACTGTATCAAGGGTTAAAGTTTGGATCAAAGGTCACACTAAAAAGGATGGTACAGCAGTGAATTCAACTGTTGGTGAAACCATTGTAAAGACATTTCTATGGATATTCTAAGTTCTTTCTATATCTTTCGTTCTTAAGCATTAAAAATAAATCACCTTTGTATTTCAGGATAAGCTGAAAGAAATTGAAAGTGATACGCCTTCATCCTCATCAACTAATATAAGAGAAGATGCTCTTTCTCAAGTATTGGGAAAAGATAAACGTGGACAACTGAGAGGAATGGGAAGGGGAGCTACTATAAGTAAAATATCTTTTTTACAAGCAAGAGATAAGCACGTGGTTCAACTAAAAGAGGAAAATGTTGAGTTTCGAAGTAGGATACAACACTTGGAGAATCTCGTCCAAAAATTAGTTGCAGTCCATGGGAATGAGGAAGCTGATCATGATCCTGGAGTTGATAAGACAAGTCATTTGGTATACTAGTCAATTATTAAATTTTAAAGTTAGAGATAATACTATGTTTAAAGTTTTTCTACTAACTATAAGTCGTGGTACATTGTAGGGCATGCGTCCTAAACTCCATGGTAAGTGCAACCTTTTAGATTGGTGTGGAAAAGATGAGGTTGTAGCTGAAGGACACTTGTGCTCTAGTGACCCAAAAGGGCTTGTTAATAATGCTCCTCTTGGACCTAATGCAATGGAAGTGATGGTCGACATAACAAATATACCAGATGCTTTTCTTTGGAGACCTACATCTAATATGTTATGCATGAAACAAGCTGTTGGTAAGACAATTGCATGGCCAGCTGATAAGGTGGTGAGGCAGATTACTCAAAATTCTGAAAATGAAGATAATACCTCCCTAAATATGGTAAAAACTGCATTTTTATATATTTCTATTGCATATCTCATGGATATGACATTTATAATAAAACAGTTCTTATGTCTTCATTTATTGGTAGGATACAAATATTAGCCATATCAGGTGTAAGATATTCAATTGGACTGGAAAAGATGAAATTGTTGCTCAAGGTCATTGGATTTCTAGTGATCCAAAAATGATTGTTAACGGTATTCCACTCGGACCTAAAGCCATGATTGTTTGGATTGATGACATTATAAGTCCTGAATGTTTTTTGTGGAGACCTACACTAGACATGACATCCATCAAAGATGTTAGGGGAACCAAAATAGCATGGCCTAGTGATAAGGTTGTATTAGAAAATATCTCTAATCACAATTTGCAGTCTGCAAACAAATCATCATCTTCTCAGGTACTTATATTTGTTTATTAGCATTAATTTATATTTGACTATATATTTTATTTTCTATTGTTAATGTTATTGTTTTCAGAGTATAAGCAATTCAAAGAAAAAGTGCAACTTGTTAGATATCAGTGGCTCAGGAAAGATTGTTGCTGAAGGACATTGGTCATCAAGTGATCCAAATCAACTTGTTCACTTTGTCCCTTTAGGTCCTAATGCAATGAGGGTGTGGGTTGATATGCCTAGGATCCCTGATGCAGTTCTTTGGAGGCCAACATCTTAGTTGGAGTGTATTGAAGATGCGGTTGGTACTACAATAGCTTGGCCATCAAACAAAGTTGTTATGCTTTAATATGCTGGTAAGTATTTTTATTTGGCCACAACAAGTGAAGAATAATTGGCTACTTTGAAATCTATATTTGTTAAGGGCTGAAATCATGAATTGATGTGACCAAAGTTGTAATGATTAAAATACAAAACTAATTGATAAAAATGGTTAAAGGTTGAAACATAGTTCCAATTAATATTGTAGTATATAAGACTGTTGAAATATCATTTGTTAAATGGCCAGTTGAAATATCCTGGATTTAGATGATGTTGAGTAGTGCTGTGGAGTTTTTATAGAATATTCCACATGGGTGCATAACAAACCAATTGACACTCCAGTAGTTGTCCACAAAAGTACTGCTGTGGAGCTTGTAATTATTCATGAACATTGTCACAACTCTAACTTACTGAAGTTTATGATTTGTGTTTGGTATAATTGATAAATCAAATGAGTTGAATCCATTAATGTTTACTTTGTTAGGAAAGAGAAGAATGTGCATTATAAGATGAAGGAATTTTTAGGAGAATTCTCATTGTTGGGGTTGTTTCTGTCTTCTTTTTTGCAGAAATTTTGGGCTCAATTAGTGAAGATGAAGTCATATGTGATGCTGAAAAGTCACCAACTTTTTTACTACTATGTTTGATGTATCACCATCTTGGATGATTGAAGAGAACTTTTTAATTTGTTTTTGTAATATACTGAATTTGTTAGAGAATGTTATGGATTTAAAGTTGTGTCAATTAGTACTTTTAAATGAAGTGTCTATATGAAACTAATTTTACTTTCATTCTACTGTGTAATTAATTAAATAGAATTTAAATGATGGTGAAAAGTTTACAAATGCTATCAAAGACGTTTCATAGCAGAACTACAATGTTATTTTTTTTTTGCTTTTTATAGCATATCAAAAGTATTGTGATAAAGTCATTGATGTATTATAGCATTCTATTTTGTGATAACAAAAGAAATGATATGCTTGTGACCTTAGTTTGATAGCATGTGTAAAATGCTATAGTTGACTGATTTTTATAGCAATTGATCAAATGCTATAAAAAGCCTCACACTTTCCATAGCAGCTCCTAGCACAGCATTTCATGCAGTGCTATGGAATGATAACATAGCATATTTTAGATGCTATTGATTAATCAACATGGTGTAGTGAGAGATCCAGTTCATCTAAGTCCAAGTGTTGTCTCAAGTTCTTTACAGTTCTCTTCCACTCAGGGTGCAAGCTCGACAGGAAACGTATATTTATCTCCATGTTTGATTTCACATCTCTTTGGCAGTCTCCATACTATCAATCAGAATGTAGATGTCATTTGGGATTGCTTGTAGCAAGAATGTTTTAGCCATGAGCGCCTCCCCTGGTGCAGCTTTGAATGCATCGTAAGCAATTAAGATGTTTGCTTTCTTAGTCTTCAGTCCAAGATCAGTTCCAATCATCAGCTTCTTCACTTCATCCCACATCTCTTTGGCAGTCTCCATACTATCAATCAGAATGTAGATGTCATTTGGGATTGCTTGTAGCAAGAATGTTTTAGCCATGAGATCAGCTTTGATTCTTTGTCTATCTTCTTCAGTGTATTCAGCTTTTGTCTTCAATCTTCGTTCCTGATTAACAGGTGGGTTTCCATCACTCCCATTCACACTTGCCCAAATCTCAACGGGTCCTTGGGTGAGGGATTCCAGCATTGCAGAAGAGTTATCTTTACTTTCCAGAAAATTTAAGAATCTTATTCTCCACATCTGGTATTCACCTCGCCTCAGAATTAGGGGCCTACTGTCATTACCAAGTGATAAAGCATCCATCTTTGCTGTTTGATTTTAAGAAAGACCGTTCGAGTGTTTAGATCAGATAAAATTAAAATTTTTTACTACAGAATGTCGAAAACCTAATTTTCAGGAACAAGTTCGAGAAGGGGGTTCGAGAACTTCTATCGAGAAGCAGTTTTCGATATCTGATATCGAAAACCTTGTTATCGAGAAGCTAGGTTCGAGAAGCTGCTTTCGAAAAGTCAGTATCGAGAACTTAAGTTAGGGAACTTAAGTTCGAGAACTGAATGTCGAGAAGCTGTATCGAAAACCTGCAAACGTGAAAACAAGATATCGAGATATGAAATATAAAAAACTGAGTATCGAGAACAGAAGCTCGAGAACTCAGTTCGAGAACCTATGTCAAGAAGTCAGTATCGAAATCCTGCAAATAAAAAAATCAATTTTAAGCAGATTAAACAGCTTTTCTGTGAAGTCCTTGATCTCGAGAACCTTTCTGAACAGTTTGAAGTTCAAAAAACCTGCAGAAACCCCGAGAACCCTGTTTTTCGATATCAAAATATCGAGAACCTCAAATCTGAAAACTTATCGAAACAAAAATCTAAGATATACTGTTTGCTCGTATTTGAGAGATGATTTCAGCAGTACATCTTTTACACTTTTTCGTTCAAAAATGAGATTACAACGATTAAAAGAGTAAAATGTCGAAAAGATGAAAAACATGGGACTTCAATAACTTTTTCTTCGTCGATCACACTCGAACCTGGCTCTGATACCAGTTGTTAGTCCCAGTTTATGCAGACTAACATTCAGCTAGATGGACATCATCGATAAACAGAGAAGAAAGATTTCACAGAATGATATAGAGATTATCGAGAACAGAGAAAACTTTCTTTCTATTGTATCGAGAAGAATTTTGGCAGCGTAAGGCTAGAGTGTATTAATCGATATCGAAACCTGTACAGAACGCGCATATTTATAAGCGCTGTACAGGTTACCGAATTAGGTAAACCTTGGGATTTGGGCCAAGGCCTTTTTGGGCCTTATTCCCTTTAACCCATTTATTACAAAATGATTACTAATCTAATACCATAAATGGTATATCTAGTCTACTTTATTAAACAAGACATTACAGACAAACTTGACTCACAATAAAAGTTCTAACACTTCTCCGGCTTCATCTGAAGTTTTCTTTTCTAAGCCCATGCAGCACCAACCCGTTTTGGGTTTAGTTTAGACAGGGATTTTGATTGGTGCGAGTATTTGTATAAATTCAGCTTTTCGGTAAAGTTTAATTGCTGCATGTACATGTATATATTCAGATATGGAGAAACTTTAGTTGTTTCAATTTGAGTGTGATATCATTGTTAGAGTCATTTCATTCTTTGTACAGGATACTTTCATTTCATACCTAGAAGATTCAACGTTCATTTTGAACTTCATTTTCTCTGGCTCAGAATATTGAGTACCGGCTAATTGAAGCACAGCTAGTTGTTAGAGAAGCTGATTGAAGAGCATGGTGATTGGTGAAGATCTATTTAGCATTGTATAAGAGAGTGTTCTCAATGTCGTCTTTCTGGCTGCATAGTTGAGTTTGTAAGCGGTAGAATATATACTTTTTATGACAGAAACAAAAGTTTTTTATTGCTTTAATTTTGATGGTTCATGTTTTGCGCTCGGTTCGTGATTCGAATCCATATGTGACTATTTCACTTCAAAAAACTCAATAAAAGTACAACTACAAATAGTAGTAAAAGTAGTAGTAGTAATGATGATGATGATGATGATGATGATGATGGTGATGTTGATAATAATAATAATATTAATAATAATTATAATATTAATAACGATGATGATGATGATGATAATAATAATAATAATAATAATAATATTATTAGTAGTAGTAGTAATAACAACAACAACAATAATACCATCAACAACATCAACAATAATAATAAGAGTTTTTTCCTAAAATATTTCTTATTAAAAATTTAAAGAAAAAAATATGACTATAGGTTACTATGAATAAATTTATAGTCACTACAATGTAGTATTTGAATATAAAGGGGTTACATGGGTATCATGTGGGATTATTATGAGTGGACCATAAAAACTTGGGATTATTACCAATTTTTACTTATTATTACGGAGTATTACTTGTTATTATTATTATTATTATTATTATTATTATTATTATTATTATTATTATTATTATTATTATTATTATTATTATTATTATTATTATTATTATTATTATTATTATTATTATTATTATTATTATTATTATTATTATTATTATTATTATTATTATTATTATTATTATTATTATTATTATTATTATTATTA